TATTCTTACACAATCAGTTCTTGTTTAGTAAATCAGTCTCAAAAYAAGATCAAAAAGACTTTTTGGCTGATATAAGATTTTAAAACTTGGTTGGGTGGACAGTTTTTGCAGTGTAAACATTTTTAAATGTTACAAAAGCCACACTAAAATTCAAATATATGAAAATGATAAAAAAAAAACTATGCTAGCTAAAAGGTAGTACTTGCTTTTAGCTAGCATTTTTATAACTTTGACAAGGATTTTGCTACTTTTAGTTTCTAGTTAGCTTTGTGCTACTTTTAGCTTTTAAGCATTTAGCTATATTTGAATTTTCCTTCTATTTTGGCTTTTGTAACGTTTACCATTCAGCTGTGTTTTGGACATATTTGTTTTAAGCTAGCCCTTTGCTACTTTTAACTTTTCGCTTGCTGCATGTTAAAAGAAACACAAAGATAACTATGAACTAACAGTAGCTAAATCCAGGCCAAAGGTACAAAAAAAGGTAGTCAAAAAGGGAGCATAGCATAAAGCACGCTTAAAATTTAAGCATTCTAAAAGATTAGCTAAATGGTAAAAGTTACAAAAGCAAAACAAAAATTCAAAAATAGAGAAATGCTAAAAGTTAAAAGAGCTAAAAGAGATGGTGGGTGAAAGTCTGCATTCTGGAAATGATTTGAGATGATTGTGTAAATCCTAAAATAAGAGTCACGCTGGAAGAAAGAAAGCAAAAATTTCCTTGTTTTGATGTATCATTTGTAAAAGTACAAAAAAAAAAAAACAACTGTTGTGGGATTGAGAAGAAATTATTTTTAAAAGATTTAACATTTTTAACAACTTAAAAGTTATAATTGATTTGAACATTTTTTTAGTATCCATTAAACATGCAGTTTTAGTAAAAAAAAAACTGTCCAACTTTCTGTGACGTCTGTCTGAGTTGAGTTTTCTCATCTTTTTCACCAAATTCCCATTGATTTCCACTGTTTATTTCTGTTGTTTTTCTACATTGTACAACATACTGCCACTAAAATCCATAGCTTTTAGATCGGCGATGCAGTCACACATGTTGGTGGAAAATTTGCGCATTTTGTTTCAAAGCTTAAAGAAAATACAGGACAACAAAACGAAATAAGGGCACTTCTATGTTTATTGATAACCTTTTTTTTTACATTTTTATCTAAGTCGTTACATGTCAGCGCTCATTATTATAAAGATTTAATGTAGTTTTCATCTTTTAGGTAAAGCTAAACTTACCTCATCCCATTCGAGTTGATAGTTTGTGATTTTGGATCCATTGTCGCCTGGGGGCTGTGGATAGCAGAAAGATGGGACCAAGTAAAGAAGAAAAGACAAGACAGATTAGGAGCTTAGTCCAGGATGATAAACTCTAAAAATGAGGCTGACAAAAACCTGTCGTGTCTTTGAGATTGACCTCATGTCTTGTCTGAGTGACTGATGTGACTCTGAGGTGGTGTGTGAGTGGATTAAATAAAATGTGTCTAGAAGGTGGAAGAGGACAGGCCCTGATGCTCCAAGTCTGATAAAGGAAACTTCCGTATTTTTCGGACTATAAGCCGCACCGGACTATAAGCCGCACCCCCAACATAAAAAAAACAGTACACCCAAATTTGCCGTCAAAAAAGTGAATTCAACATCAAAACATAAAAAGCAAACCTTTAGGAATTAAAGTTCGGAGGAATACGGTTCATTTAACTGACCTTATTTTGGTAGTTTTCTTTAACAGTTTCTGGTCCAACAAAACGTCTCATTCATCGTCCTCCGGCGCACTGAAAACATCGAAGTCCTCCTCTTTAGTGACGGAGTTAAACAAGCTGAGAAAAGCTGCGTCACATAGTGGTATCTGTTCAGTGTTGCTTTCTGTCGCTGTCCTCCTGGGGTAATGCTGGCTCTGAAGCTGTGGTGGGAAAGCCCTCCCGCTCCAGCGTACATCACTGCATGGGATTCCTTCACCGGGGAGTGCAATGAGGAAAAAAAAAGTCTGTGGCTCTTCACTCGACGTTTATCCACAAACTGGTCCTGGATTAAGCTCCAAAGTTTTTATCAGTCAGATTCCACCGTGAAAAATGTCTGTTTTATCCCCTTTTATGAGTTTTTGGCCATTGACTATCTTTAAATCGCTGCTTCCTGGTCAACAGTCAGCTCTGGAAGCGATCGCTTTTTTCTTTTTTTTCTTCTTTTTTTGATGCGAGTAGTTGAAGCAAATGGAGCATAAGAGCCCCCTGGTGGCTGAAGAAAAAAATCCATGTATAAGCCACCGGTCTATCAGCCGCATGGTTCAAAGTTCAGGAAAAAAGTCGTGGTTTATAGTCCGAAAAATACGGTAAGTGAAGCTAACCACAATTTAACTTTCTAAACAGATGTTTTTCCACACTAAAATTTAGTTAACTGGATGTATTAAAGGGTCTAAATGGATCACAGATACATTGTTTTAATAATGTGAGCGTAAAGACACTGGAGCCGTACCTTCCACTGCACACTGAGGCTGCTCTTGGAGCGGTGGGTGAGTTTAGGGGGTAGGGGAACGTCAGGCACGCTGCAGTGTGTCGTGAACGAGCCGGCTTCTGAACACGAGCCTCGAACAGAGTTGTACGATGCCGACACGCTGACAAAAATAAAAATATATATATTTATTAAACAGGGAATTTAAACAACATCCATGACTGCTGATGCTGCATAGCTCGAAGAGGGAAATTTACACTTTTAAAGCTCCTAGCATTACTTAGTGGAATGCTTATTACCTATCACCTTGGCTGCCCGAGTTGACTCGAGTTAACTCAGTTGCAGATGTACACAAACACACAAATATTAACACCACCTTCCATTTCTGGTGACAGGTGATAAAGGAAGTTTCAAACCTACAACCTGGTTCCGACTTAAATAAAAATGTCCAAATTCTTACCGTACGTGGTAGTCCGTCGCTGGCCTTAGGTCTTTCAGATGGTATTCCAATTCTTCACCACTGAAACACAAACAACAGAAGCTCACTGTGGATCATAGCTGCTTCTCTATTCTTATAGCATAGTTTTTCTCCCTTTTTTTTTTACCTGTATATGAGGCGATACTTTCCGTCCTTTCCCTTATCTGAGAGAGACACCTCGTAGGAGCAGGACACAGGCACTCCGTTACTGTGCCTGTTCACCAGCCCGGCTGGGGGGGCCCAGGACAAGCGGGCAGCCCTCGCCTGGACGTTAGACACCTGGAGGACGTACAGAACGCACACATACCAAAAACTGTTTTCACACTTACATAAACAACAACAAAGGCCTGGACGTCTTTGAAGTAATGCATGTCGCCCGCTGCCCTTAATGCCAACGTTGAAGAATAAAATAAACTTGTGTTGAAAAATGATGGAGTTGTAACTAGGGCTGCAACTAACGATTATTTTAATAATCAATTAATCGGTTGATCATTTTTTCGATTAATCGGCCAAATCA